AAAATTATATTATAATATAATACAAATTTGTATTCTCTCATTTAATTATAATTGTTCGTTTATTAATTCATTCAATAACATATTATTTACGTATATATTATATAATATTATTCTATGGTTTAATTATAAACATAATAAGTTATTTTTTTTTTAAAGAACCAGTATCATTTTAACCAGATACGATAAGAATAAGTAATAGTAAAAATGTATCAATAAGTTTGGTTAAGTTAAATCCAATTTTAAAACGACAAACTTTAAATTAGATTCGCGAAATGTTAGCGCATTGTAAACAAAAATAATTCTCTTTTCTTTTTCTGTATATACATATGTATGTGTGTGTGGGTGAGCATATGTGCGTTCATATACGTCAACTATTGGCGAATACAACAAGGGGGTTCCATAATGTAAGTTCATCGGTAGCGCGCTGATGCGTACGTAATCCCATGGTGCTTACCGATAGCATCATGGGTTTTATTTTCATTATTCATTTGTTCGGCTGTTCCCCATGGATGGTTCGAAAGCTTACACGTATAACCCCATGTTTCTATGCCACTTTAATCAGATAAAACCGTGGCGAACATGCCGAAAATCGTTCCGCGATTAATCATATCTCCACTTTTTTTTTTTCTTTATTCTTTTTCCTTTTCTAAAACATACACCATGTAAATATCTTTATCTTATACACATATACATATATATATATATATATATTATCAATATGTAAAAATTAAATTACATTAAAAATACAATATTACATAAAAATACAATCTCAACGTTGACACATATTTTACAAAATATATTCACGTATATAAAACACACCATAGATTAAAATTAGATATTACAAATATATAGAAAAGTTCCAACCAACTAAGCACCCAAAGCAAAAACAATAACAAAAATAAAAAGTAAAAAAAAAAAAAAAATGAATTAAAAAGAAGATGGATAGAAAATTATGAGAAAAAAATATGAGAGCCCTAAAAAGAGGTTTTAATAAAAAGAAAAAAGGATAGAGAATCTTTCGTCTTCTTATTCTTATTCTTCTTCTTCATCTTCATCTTCGCAAAAGGAAACACGATATCCATCCGTTCGTTCTTGGCTTGTTGGTCCGCCCACGTGTTTTACGTTGACCGTTAAAATTTGCAAAACTCTTGTGCAAAAGTTCGCGACATCATCCTCGTCGTTCCCTCCTCCCATGGTAGGTAGAGGAGCCAGTGTATTATTTTTCCACCGGTTCGCCAAATTGGCTCGCACGGAATCTCGAATTACTCGATACTCGATATCACCAGGAGGATAAAACTTCCACCTACCTTCTGCACCACCCTTTACCCCTCCTCCACCTCCTTCTCCTCCTCCTCCTACATCCACCCTTCTCTCATACATACGCACAAACCCACGATTTCTCTCTCACACATACACCCACGTTTATTGTATCCTTTATATTTATCAAACTAACCCGAACAATGTTTATAATCAAATTGACGATACTTCTTCTTTCTCTCTTGCACACTCATATTTTCCTTTTTTATATTTTTTTTCTCTCTTATTTCCAATGATTCTATATATTTGCATTTTCATTTTTATATTTTCTTTCTCTCTTATACACTATTGTATTTTCATTTTTTATATTTTCTTTCTCAAAATAGGTTTTAATTTTAGTTTTTGTTATAAAGTTAAATTATATTGAGATAGAGTATAATAAGAGATGTTAAATATTTTCTATCGGAAGCCCTCCAAACCCGAAAGGGACGGAGTATAAATAAATAAATAAATAAAAATAATAAATATTTTCTTTCTCTCTTACACTATATTGCAATTTCCTTTTTTATATTTTCTTTCTTTCTTATACACTATTGCATTTTCTTTTTGTATATTTTTTTTTTCTCTCTTGCACACTCATGCATTTTCTTTTTTATATATTTTCTTTCTCTCTTATACACTATTGCATTTTTCTTTTTTGTATATTTTCTTTCTCTCTTGTACAC